CCATCAAGCACGCCCCGCGCCGTCAAGCACGCCCAGCGCGCCATCAAGTACCCCCCGCGCCCCGCACTCCCCTCTAGCCCCATGTGTCAGAATCCCCCCATCTATACTACCCATCTATACTGTCTTCGGTGCTTGTACGACCCATTTTAAATTCATTAAACTACAGATTAACTGTTGTTCTCGAAGAAGTAGATGTGGGATAACATTTCTGCAACCATTGCAATGATTGTTCCGAAGTTTTGCCCATCAAAAAACAATGTTTGATCAAGATGCGATATTTCTGTTTTTCCATTTTTTTTTACGAAGGCGAAAGTAGCGTCACTCAAACGACTGTAGCTTGTAAACGAATGGACGAAATGTCATGACACTTCATACATAAACTAGTGACAGATGAGCCTCTCGAAATGAGTCATGTTCATTTTCTAGTGGCGCCACCTATTGAAGAATCCCGGGACTTTTCAGCCCATGTAGTATTTTCCGATCGGATTGTTCCACTCGACAATTCGATAGGCCATACCTCATATCATTGATGATGTGCAGAATTATGTTTGCGAGGAAACGTATTAGGCAACAAATACTAAAAAATAAAGTAGCGAACGCATTGACTGATTCTAACTGCGTGTACGTTGAGCGTAAGCGTTGCAACATTCTAGCGGTTAGAAGATCTGTCGAAGAACGAATACAACAAGAGGTTTGGGTATTTTTCACGGCTCTAGTGTCGACGTATTCCCTAAGTCGATGATGTATTAGAACTCGATTTGAAGCACGTAACGTCTTGTTTAAATGCCAAATGTAATTACAGTGTAACTACGCTGGAAAAGAGTTGTTCGCTGACATTATCTATACAGTCGACATTAAAAAAAAAAGGTGTCACTCTGCAAACTTTGATTGATTTCGAATTTTCGAAATGGGAAACGATAAATGACAATTGTAAGGAATGTAAGGGTACCATTCTGAAAAAGAAAACCGTATTAGAATCGACTTTATCTGTTTTAGTAATACAGCACAATTTATACACTTTTGTAAACGGTACTTCTAAAAAAATTATCGATAGTCGGTAATAAGCGCTGTACTTCACGAGGGCGAAGAAATGAATCGCGGTCACTACACGTGTTTGTTGGGAACAGGTAAAAAATCGGAATGGTATTACTCTAATGATTCTTTAACTATATTACACGTAAAGATTATAAATAAAAATTTATTCTGTTGCAATCGAAATAAATTTAGTTTATTCAGTATATTTACGATCTAGTTAATTTTGATGTACGTATCATTTATTAAATATAATTGAAACTGTCTTCTCTATTTATATATATTTAAAAAAAAATACATTATTTACTTATTGTAATAACACGTACCATTTGTACCATGAAAAAACTAACTATATAGTTCAGTCTAAATATCAAGTTAAATTCTACCAAATGAAAAAGTAATGTCCAAGTGTTATTGTCTTCGCTAAATTTAAAATCTCAACTAGTATTATTTAAAAAAAATGCAATTAGAATTATCTTTATGACGACTACAAGTCGTCTGTTAGTCAATTTGGCGTAATGTAAATATAATTCTCGGAAATATTAAATTTAATTACAAATCTAATAATATAGGTAATTATCGAAATAAACAAAGATACATATAGATATGTGTTTATTGTATCAATTTTTTATAGTCATTTATAAAAATTATATATATAAATTACATATAATTTTTATAAATGGTTATTTTACATTCTTCGCTTCTTCCTCAACCGCCTCTTCCGCGTCCGCCTCTTCCGCGGCCGCCTCTTCTTAGGCTAAAAGTCCAAAATGAAATAGTAATTAGTTCGTTAATTAATTTCACGAAAGGCTATGAGCCAATTAAAATATTAATATGTTTAATATTCGTACAGACGTTTCGATACCGATCGGATCATTTTCAACGTAAAAACTAATAGTATAACATAAATATCAGTGGTCTATTTGTTATAACATCGCTCAATGTAACTGATATAAAGGTAATCTCATCTATTTCTTTTTTTTTAGAACAAAATGTATATTTTTATAAATAAAATAATTAAAAGCAGTTCGCTTCAACCAAAAGAATAAATTAAAATAAAAGTCAGATATTTAAAAAAAATTGTTTTAAAGTCTTAATATTTAAGCGGGAAACCTCCTTTACTCGGTCGAACAATACATGATTTTCACGAATTTTTTCTCAGGTATAATAACTTGAAACGTTTTGAAATTTTTATGACAATTTAATACATAATCGAAGAGTACACAGGAATTTTTTCAAAAAAAAAAAAGAAAAGATATTTACTATAAAAACGGACGCCATATTGATATCGCCTCGCTTATGAAGTGTCTCCGCTGTGAACACTGTAGCGTCCATATTTTGGTTTGAAACAAAAAAAAAATTTTTTGTAATGTTTATGATACTAGCTTCTATGTGACATTTCAATTTTTTAAAGAAAAAGTCGAAATTGCATGTTTTTACACAGTTTAAAGTTTAAAGTGCGTTTTTCGTTTAAAAAATCGACTTTAAAATATGAAAAAAAATTTTTTTTTTTAAACAATTAATATCACATCGAAGAGAATTTAATTATCTTTAAAATGAGGGGTCATCAAGCCAAATCGGTTCAGTAGAGTTCTCTTAATCGTGTTTACAAAATCGAAAAAAGGTGTTTCGAGAAAAACGCGTAAGTTTTGGATACATAAAAATACTACATATTCACAACTGACGGCAGTCTCACGCTAATCAGCGATTCCAACTGCATAAAGTAGCCCCTCCGCTTCCTCGTAGAACTCGTTTTGAGCCATCATCTCCATCCTACGAGCGGTTCTTGCCTCTTTTGAGCTGCTATAGCTTCACTCGACCCGTCCACTTTAACTACGTAACTTCGTGAATACTGCAGATATCGACTTGAAATTTTCAGGGAATATTCTTGAATTTAACAATCGATTAAGACTATTTCTAAAACACCGATTTTTTTGACCCGATAAAGGAGGTTTCCCCCTTAAAAGTCAATACAGTTAAAATATATGGTATGTGAAACAATCATTACAATGAAAGTAAAATGGACTATGTATATGGGAGACCGGGACACCATGAATCACAAAAATTCGAACAGTAAAAAATACATTAAAATGTAAGATTTTTGGTCTCAACTTTTTTATATCATTAAGGGATAATATATAATTTAAGATTTATTGAGCATTTTTTATAAATATTTATTTGTTTTTTAAATAAAAATCGAAAAAGAAATTTTTAGAAATGACCCATGGTACCCCATGCCCGGGGTACCATGGGTCAGACCCTGGGGCACTATGGGTCACATAGGAGAAGTAGCATCATTTAATAAATGAAATTCAAAGAAGTGATTTATTTCATAAATGAATCCAAAAATTATTTATTTAATCATTAAAGTTAAATGAATCTCAAACAAATAATCAGCAATTGAATTTTCTTGAACATCAGTAAAAACTTTTTGATGGCTGTAGTTTGATGTAAGTTCGAATTCCACACCAGATGACTTTATAATTTTAATCTTGCATCTCAGAGTTTCTCTTTTAACACCGCATCGATCAGCTACTTTTCTAATTCTACCTCCTTTAACCAAATCAATTGCTTTTTTCATATCGGTTTCCTCATATGTACCCTTAGACCTTCTTTTATATTTCCTAACCATTTTTATCGTGTTTTCTGAAAGAATATAAAAGAATTTGTATTGCCCAATTTCTAATCTATCCAGACAAAGAATAGTCTATACATAATCATATGTATAAAGCGATTTATCTAATTACATTTTTATCATAAAGACACGCGTAAAATACGATTATGTAATTTTTTATGCATATACGGTTCTGCAGTTACGCAAATTGTTCTAAATTCCTATTAGTATATGACCCATAGTGCCCCAGCAAGAGATGGCCCATGGTGCCCCGATATGTCTAATATAAAAGATGGTGAAATATAACATCGAAGTAAACAATAAATGATTACCTGCACTGCAGAGAAAATGCAGAAAGATGTGTAGAATCACGTATGTAACTCGTAATAAGTATATCATATGTTATAGAAACAACATATAAGAAATTGTGAGAGGTAAAATAGTCATTTTCGCACCATGAGAGTCTTTAACGGCATGTATACGGAAAGATAACGGAAGTGGATTACTGCCATCTAGATACAGTATGGGTAACTAAATAACAATCATATGATACCAATTGCAATCTAAACATTCTGGACTATTTCTCTAAACGGTTAATGACCCATGGTACCCCGTGACCCATGGAGCCCCGGTCTCCTCTATGTTACATTAATTTAGTATCAGTATTAAGATATTTCATGTAAGATTGTACATTTTAAAAAAATAAAATTATTATACTATTACTTTTTACATTGAAAATGACCCGATAGGTGTCGAAACGTCCGTACGAATTAATTTTAACTTAATTTAACTGAAAAAGAATTTAATTTACAGATTAGAACGTCGAGTGTACCACGCGGCACGACTCCGCCCACGCCCTTGTCCACGATTTACTGAAAGAATAAATATGTATTATATAAAAATTATATGTATAAATTACATATAATTTTTATAAATGGATATTCTACATTCACCACTTCCGCGTCCGCCTCTTCCGCGTCCGCCTCTTCCGCGTCCGCCTGTTCTTAGGCTAAAAGTCCAAAATGAAATAGTAATTAGTTCGTTAATTAATTTCACGAAAGGCTATGAGCCAATTAAAATATTAATATGTTTAATATTCGTACAGACGTTTCGATACCGATCGGATCATTTTCAACGTAAAAACTAATAGTATAACATAAATATCAGTGGTCTATTTGTTATAACATCGCTCAATGTAACTGATATAAAGGTAATCTCATCTATTTCTTTTTTTTTAGAACAAAATGTATATTTTTATAAGTTTGATAACGGATTCTGACATCAATATTCTTCAGTCGAGAAAAATCCAGTTTAAAGAAAGTATTTGCGACGAAAGATTGAATGAACTTTGCACTTACCATGTATGTGGTATATGAATCAATTACCGGTTGATACAATATGTTTATTACCCACCCCAGGTAAGGTTTGCCGACTATCAGCCGATGTTGAACGTTGGGCCGATGTTGGCGACATCACGGCAAACTGACTATCATTAATCGAACATGGCACAACGTCGGCCCAGGCTCCGTTAGTCGACCCTTATCTAAAGACGACTTGAGGCCACCGTCGGACCAAGGTTGGGCCAACGTTGGCTCAATCTTGGTCCGACGGTGGCCTCAAGTCGTCTTCAGATAAGGGACGGCTATCGGAGGTTGGGCCGACGTCGCGCCGTGATTGACGTGACAACCGAGAGCCGACATACTGCCAATGTTGGCTCAATCTTGGTCCGACGGTGGCCTCAAGTCGTCTTCAGATAAGGGACGGCTATCGGAGGTTGGGCCGACGTCGCGCCGTGATTGACGTGACAACCGAGAGCCGACATACTGCCAATGTTGGCTCAATCTTGGTCCGACGGTGGCCTCAAGTCGTCTTCAGATAAGGGACGGCTATCGGAGGTTGGGCCGACGTCGCGCCGTGATTGACGTGACAACCGAGAGCCGACATACTGCCAATGTTGGCTCAATCTTGGTCCGACGGTGGCCTCAAGTCGTCTTCAGATAAGGGACGGCTATCGGAGGTTGGGCCGACGTCGCGCCGTGATTGACGTGACAACCGAGAGCCGACATACTGCCAATGTTGGCTCAATCTTGGTCCGACGGTGGCCTCAAGTCGTCTTCAGATAAGGGACGGCTATCGGAGGTTGGGCCGACGTCGCGCCGTGATTGACGTGACAACCGAGAGCCGACATACTGCCAATGTTGGCTCAATCTTGGTCCGACGGTGGCCTCAAGTCGTCTTCAGATAAGGGACGGCTATCGGAGGTTGGGCCGACGTCGCGCCGTGATTGACGTGACAACCGAGAGCCGACATACTGCCAATGTTGGCTCAATCTTGGTCCGACGGTGGCCTCAAGTCGTCTTCAGATAAGGGACGGCTATCGGAGGTTGGGCCGACGTCGCGCCGTGATTGACGTGACAACCGAGAGCCGACATACTGCCAATGTTGGCTCAATCTTGGTCCGACGGTGGCCTCAAGTCGTCTTCAGATAAGGGACGGCTATCGGAGGTTGGGCCGACGTCGCGCCGTGATTGACGTGACAACCGAGAGCCGACATACTGCCAATGTTGGCTCAATCTTGGTCCGACGGTGGCCTCAAGTCGTCTTCAGATAAGGGACGGCTATCGGAGGTTGGGCCGACGTCGCGCCGTGATTGACGTGACAACCGAGAGCCGACATACTGCCAATGTTGGCTCAATCTTGGTCCGACGGTGGCCTCAAGTCGTCTTCAGATAAGGGACGGCTATCGGAGGTTGGGCCGACGTCGCGCCGTGATTGACGTGACAACCGAGAGCCGACATACTGCCAATGTTGGCTCAATCTTGGTCCGACGGTGGCCTCAAGTCGTCTTCAGATAAGGGACGGCTATCGGAGGTTGGGCCGACGTCGCGCCGTGATTGACGTGACAACCGAGAGCCGACATACTGCCAATGTTGGCTCAATCTTGGTCCGACGGTGGCCTCAAGTCGTCTTCAGATAAGGGACGGCTATCGGAGGTTGGGCCGACGTCGCGCCGTGATTGACGTGACAACCGAGAGCCGACATACTGCCAATGTTGGCTCAATCTTGGTCCGACGGTGGCCTCAAGTCGTCTTCAGATAAGGGACGGCTATCGGAGGTTGGGCCGACGTCGCGCCGTGATTGAC